CTTACCTGTTAATTTGAGAGCAATAAAACCTAAAAGCAACCCATCTGGAGTCATGATTGTAAATTGTATTTATATCATTGGTTTTATCTGCTCAGGACCCAGTTTTTTTCTTACTTTGGGCCATAACTGCTTTTTATAGAAATTATTTTCCCTTGATTTATTAAAACGGCCACATGTGACTCAGAAAGCAAATAAGCAAAAAACAGAATAAGCAGAAAGCAAATGTATTGTCCCATAGTCTTTTAAAATCTTCCCTCTGGATGAGTTCTTTCTTATCTTGGGCTGGCCCTGTAGCTTTCCAGTTCTGTTTCAACAGTAGCATTTCGCATCAGAAGCTGAGAGCCCTTTTCACCTTCTACTGAATCTTTAAGACAGCAAGTCTCTGTCTCAGAAAACAAACAATAGGACAAAAAGCTTAGTTTCTCATCTTTCAGGAGTTTGCTTGAGGACCTTTCACCTCTACTTCTGCGTTGTGTCTCCTGTTCCCACTCCCTCTATATTTTCAAAGTATTCTAGAACTTTCTGAGCTCCTGTCTCAATTACAAAGAGAATGCCAACAGAAGGGAGAAATGAGGCTGAGCAGACAGTAACAGGAAGCAGCTAGGTTCTCCACACAACTTTGTCAGGTTGCCCATCGTTTCCTCTCCCAGCTCGCCCAGTTGGTGCTCAAATGGGAAGATGAGGGCTGTTCTTGGGCTTCCCTCTGGCTACCACCTGCTGAGAAATAGCATGGCCAGAGAGTGAGTTCCTGTCAGAACTACCACAGCAGCTGTATGCTTCCTGGTGATGCAATCAGTGGGGCTCACTAGAGTGGAAGTCAATTTTATTGAACTCAAATTTCTCTGCCAAAGCATTCTGTTTTTTATAAATTTGAGGGTAGAAACTGGAATAGACATTCTGTCATGATGTACCCAACATGTCACTTGTAAGAAAGACTTAGAAACTAGAAATTTGTGGAGAACTTTCCACGTGTCTTTCTGCCTTTAGAGGAATGATCTCAGAAGGGAGGAGGGGACATGTGCAACGGCAAAGCAAGACACAAGGGAGACATCTTCTCTTTCAGGCACAAGAAAACTCAAAGTCAAAAATGCAGATTTTAGTGCTGAGTTGCTTCCTGTGACGTGTGGTAAACTGAAGGGAATTTTATATAAGGAGAAATTGAAACAAGGTAGGTTTCCTGGTCCTTTTTGATTTACAGCTCTTCATTAAAGGAATCACAAGAAGTAATGGAATTAACACATGTGAATTACTCATCACTTAAGGAATTTGGGACCTAGTATGGTTTGAGAGAAGGAAGGGATCCTGACATGCTATTTGCATATTTTAAGAAATCATACAGAGCCACGTATCGTGGCATATGCCTTTAATCCCAGCACTCAGGAGGTAGAGGCAGGAGGATCTCTGTGAGTTTGAGGTCAGCCAGTCTACATTGTGAGTTCCAAGCCGACCAAGGTTTATATAGTGAGACTCTGTCTCAAAAAATAAAAAAAACAAAAAGAAATCACACAGAATAGATGCTCACACTCATGTGGGTGCCGCTAAGGGATCCCAGAGAACCTGGGAGAAGCTGAGGAGTTTCTGTCCACAGGTGGATGTCGTGTATTTTACTTCTAGCCAGACATAAAAGGGAAAAGGCCCCCAGCCTCTACCTTCACATCCCCAATCCTCCTGGGTCATTTTCACCAGGGTAGGGCACTTGTTCTGGTGAGACAGTCACAGGATGTAGAATCAGAAAACCCAAGTTCCAACCTCAGCTCTGCCAAGCGTGGCAGTTTCATTATCTATAGAGAAGGGGGACTTTCTCAGCCTGAAATATCTTATTTTAAAAAAGAGGGCAATACTGCAAACCCTGACTAATGGTATGGCTGTGAGAATTAATTTATATCAACCATATAACATTTTATAATCATACCTCATAAATCCTTGCATAAGTGCCTGCTCTGATGCACTTCTCAGACCTCTCTTCCTATGAGCCTGTGGATATCAATGAATAGAACTGATGGCACTGTGACTTGTTTTGCACAGCTTTACTGAGTTATAATTCATATGTCATACAATTCACCACTCATAGCATACAAATCATGGGGTTGTACAGTCACAGGGTTGTAAAGGCATCAGAGAATTTTAATATTAGAGCATTTTTTCTTCCACTAAACAAAACCCCATGTGTATTAGCACTCAGCACTCATTCCCACTTGATCCCCAACCCTAAGCAATCACTGACCTAATTTCTGCTCTATAAAATTTCCTATTCTATGCATTTCACGTAAAAAAAAAAATCTTATAGCATGTGCCACTTGTGACTGGCTTCTCTCACTTAGCATGATATTTTCAAGCCTCATCCATATAGTTGCATGTAGTATATGTTTTTGATTCTCATTGTATTTATGTATCACGTTTTATTTTATTTATCAGTTTGGGTTGTTTCTACTTTTTTGCTGTTATGAATTTGGTGTTTTCAGCATTTATATACAATATGTGTATGAACATATGTTTTCAAATTTTTGAGGCACATATCCAGAAATGGAGTTTCTGAGTTGTACAGTAATTCTGTGATTAACTTGTTCAGGGGTCACCAAAATGTTTTCAACAGTAACTCCACTACTTTATATTCTCACCAGCAATGTAGAAAAGTTCTGAATTCTGTACATCAGTGTGTGTTATGTCTTTTTTATTACGGCCATGCTAGTGGCTGTGAAATGGTATCTCAGTGATTTTGCTTTGCATTTCCTAATAATGACAATGTTGAGCCTATGACTATCTTTTTACATAATTTATATTTTCACTGGGAAATAGTTCAGTTATTTTTAATGGTACCTGCCAACAACTGCAAGGAAGGAAAAACTTTTGCTCAGTAATGCTATTAAATCAGATGAAAAATATTGTCACAGAACTCTCGAATTGCAGAAGACCCCTGAGGTCTCAGTCCCAACTTGAGGGTTCTACCTCCTCCACCTTGCTCTGGGGCCATCTGGGGGTGTCTGGGTATTTCAGCCCCAGAATTCAACAGGTTGGAATCCTCTCATCCTATGGAATCACTTGCTTGTCTTCTTGTTTTGTTTTTTTTTTTCGGTCTTTTTGAGACAGGGTCTCCCTGTAGCCCCAACTGTCCTGGAACTCACTATGTAGACCAGGCTAGCCTTGAACTCACAGAGATCCACCTGCCTCTGCCTCCAAGTGCTGGGATTAAAGGCGTGCACCACCATGCCCGGCTTTGCTTGTCTTCTTGTAGGTGATCCTGATTGATAGGTTAGTCTTGATGGTAATTGTCATTTTCTTAATGTACAAAAATCAAAATCATATGCACACCCTTCAGGACCCCCCGCCCCAGGCTGGGTTGGGGCTAGTGAAGTCTCAGAGAGGCAGCACGACTCTTCTGTTATTGACTTTGGGCACAAGCTGGGTGACTTCAGATCCAATATGGTGGGAGGCCACAAATCTGAGCTCCAATGACAGTGAGGGCTCACAATCAGCTTACTCTGGTCTTACAGGGATCTCAGTGAAGTGTATACAGAGTGAGGATGGAGAGTGGTTCACTCCCCATGAATTTGAAATCAGAGGAGGCTATGCAAGATCAAAGAACTGGAAATTGAGTGTGCGCTGCCACAAGATACCCCTGAAACGGCTGATCGAGGTATTCCAGGGAGGGCGGGGTGCACCCCTTCTTGGTGCGCTGTTTACTCGTTGCATAGTTGTTGAGTTATGGCCAAAGCCCTGATGCCAGTGAGAAGAGAGGGACCCCACACTCATAGCCTGAGTACCGTGCAGCATACCAGTGCTGGTGCTGAAAAGGGTTAAGTTCAGGACCTCTGAGGACAGACCTGACATTCTGACTAGGGTGCAAACAAAGAAGTTTCTGTACTGAAACAAAATGAAGTCTGTAGTCAAACAAACAGAAGATGGTCCAGAGAAAGAAAGGTATGAAAACCGAGCCATGGCTAAAGCAATTGTGGTTGTGTGTGATATGGCCTAGTCCACCAATCCAACTTATCTGTGGAGGACTTTGATTCCATGCTAATTAGTTCAAATTAAGCATTTTAGACAAGAGGGCCTGGAGAGTTGGCTCATCGGTTGAAAGCACTGGCTGTTCTTTCAAAAGACCGAGGTTCAAACCCCAGCACCCACCTGGCAGCCAGTTCCAGGGGATTTGATGTCCTCTCCTGTCCTCTGCAGGCACGCACGACACGGGTACACTTACACATATGCAGGCATAACACTCATGCATGTAAAATTCTAAAAAATTAGAGAAGAAATAAATGATGCTGTTGACGTTAGAAATGGCATTTAAAGTATTATTATCATTATCATCATCATCATCATCATCATCATCATCATTATTTGGTACAAAGGCTTTGAACCCAAGGCTTCCACTGAGTTAATCCCAGACACCTATGATGCTATTTGAAACAACCATGTCTCTGGCATAATTTCTTTGTCCAGCAAACCCGTATTTACTGAAGAATGTTTAGATCAAATATTATCCTGTCCTAGCCCCTGGGCTCACTGAACTCTAGGCGTGGACCCTTCTTACACTGTTTAAGATTGGTCTTTCTACAAAATTTTCCTCCAGCCCCCTCTAGGGTTTGCTGTGTTTTGGTGCTCCAAATTGATCAGAGTATCTGATACCTGGTAAGCATGTGAGAAGTGTGTGTTGGCTGGCTAGTCCTCCTGATAGAAGTGAAGCTGGTGTAGGTGGTAACAGAAAGGTGCAGTGATTGAACAGGTCTCAGAACTCAGGCAAGGAGCACCTGAGAGAGACAAAGGTTCTAAAGAGCACTTTCCAGCTGTTGTTGACCAGTCTGTAAGACCCAGGAGATGGGGAGATAGAGTCCCACGGCCGATCCGAATGGGCAATGGAGTCTGCAGGCAGCATCCTTTGGGAGGAGATCGGAAATGCCACATTCATACCACAGAAATACAGACTAACCACATACTTGAATCCTTTATCTTTTAGAGAAATTTTCTACCTAAACCTCCAAGAATATATCACAGGAAAAGAAAGGTGAGCTCTCATCATATTTACAGTACTTTCTCAATTGAGTGATCAAAATTAATCCTCCAACTCCAGCTCTCACCTCTGCTTTTTTCATTATTCTTTTCTTCCTTCTGTTTCTTGTTCTCAGCATGTGCCTTCACAGAGGCGCCTGTGCTACATAGAAAGCTAGGTCTTCTTTGAATGTTGACGTCTTTGAGATGGAGATGATGGCGCCATCAGAATAGACCTCATACATGTGGTTTCATGATGGATGCAGTTGTTTTATGGTATCAAAATTGGAAAAGCAAACATGATTATGAAACATAGAAAAGCATTCCATAATAATGGTAGGATCATCTTCAACTCCAACTTAGATTTTTCTCCTTAATTTTACTAGTTTCTAACTTTAATTAAATTCAACAGAGCAAAATTTCTCATACAGCATACAGTAACAGTAGACTCAGAGTCATCTCATGACACAAAATGCCTTCATCTCTACCTGCTTCCAGACTATGGTTGCAATATGACCAGCAGCCTGATGTTCCTGCTACAACACCTTCCGTGTTTTGAGGGACAGCGCCCTCAAAATATACGCCAAAGTAAACAGACATTGATTGATCAATGACATGAAACCCTATTATGTCATTTTATGAGACAGGCAACTGCGCTGCTTACTTTCCTTGTTGTTATAACAAAACAGAACAACGAGTCAGAGGTGTGATTGCTGCCCCTTTGCTTTCTGCTTCTTACTCATTTCTGCACCTCAGCCCCTGGTGTTCCCTCCCCTACCCCCCACCCCATTCATGGGGATTTTCCTTCTTCAGTTAAACCTCTCTGGAAACACCTTCTTAGATAGACCTAGAGGTGTGTCTCCTAGGTGATTCAAACCCAGCCAAATTAACAATGAAGATGACCCACCCAAGTCCATACTTTGTCAATGTGACACCAAACACATCACATTTAAACCATAACATTGCCCTGGCCCCCGTAGGCCAACATCCACCTTGTATCACAAAATGCATTCATCTCTCTGCTCACTGTGTGGATGCAACAGCCCCTCAGGCTCCTACCACTCCACCTTCCCTGCCGAGATGAACTGTACCTCCAAACCATGAGACACAGCAAATCCTTCCACCCTTATGTTGCTTTTGGTCAGGTATTTAGTCATAACAACCAGGAAAGTGACCAATTCAGCAACCAGAGACAAGTCCTTCTCCAGTCCTTCATGTCCTCTCCCACCTTCCAATAAAATGCACACACAGACACGTGCAATTCTTCCTCAAGGAAAAATTATTTGCCCTTTGTCCTGGTTTGTCTCTCCATTGCTGTGACAAAACACTCTGACCAGTACCAACTTGGGGAGGAAAGGGTTTATTTAGCTTACATATCCTGGGTCACAGTTCATCCGGGAGCCCAAGGTAGGAACTCAAGACAGGAACCTGGAGGCAGGAGCTGGAGCACAGGCCATGGAGGAATGCTGCTTACTGGCTTGCTCCCTTGGCCCCTGCTCAGCCTGCTTTCTTATGCAACACAGGCCCACCTGCCCAGGGGTGGCACCACCCACACTGGGCTGGGCCCTCCCACATCACTCATCAGGCAGGTGCCCCACGGACATGGCTACAGGCCAGTCCAATGAAGGAAATTCCCCAATTGAGGCTCCCTCAACCCAGGTGTGTCAAGTTGACACTAAAGCTATCCAGCACACCCTTCATGAGGACAGGGCTGCTGGATAGGAAGCTCTTGGAAGCTATGTCTCAGAGGAGGTGCTGACCTTGAAAGATATCAATTTTGATGCCACCTCCTTGGGTCCTGGAAGAGCTGTGCAGAGTTCCTTTTTATCTGTGACTGATTCTTCCTCTCTGGAAGAAGACACTAAACAGATGGGATGTGCAGTGCAGAACCAGAACCAGGTCACGGTTTTTCCAACACTGAGCATTAGCAGCATCCTGAGGAAGGGGAGACAGAAAGGGGACCCGTCATCTCTACACACTGCAGGTAGAGCGAGCCATTCTCCGACTTCCACAGCAGGTCCTCTCAGGCCGCTGGGCTTCAAAGTCCACTGAAAGTCTGGGACTCAGGCCTTTGTAGTGTTTGTAGTCTGCATTGTTATCTGGCTGATTTGAACTCACAGCCACTAGGACATGTCATCCCTTGGGTTTCTTAGAAACTACTATTTGACCTATTCAGTGAGACTTTGAATGGTAGGTTCCCCTACCATTCCCCAGAGTAATAGTAACTCAGTCTGGATCTCCCAAATGAGGTAGAAATGTCCAACTCACAGAGTCTACCCTTGTTCATGGCTGGAGTGCTTTGTAGCCACAGGGAGCAGCTGCCTCTTATTTTGTGCCTCTCTGTTGGTATGAACAGAATTCCCGGAGTGGCAGATCCCAGGATCCATTTCTACTTTGATAAGTCTCTCAGAGCCCCTCTTCCACTCAGGGCCACTTGAAGTTTCCATTCTGGAAACTTTCCTGTCTGTCGCTGTCAGCACCTCATGACAGCTCCCCAGCTTGTGGCAGGACTGTTAAACTTTCTGGTGATGACTGGGGTGTTGCAAAGCAACCTGATACCAGAACAGTCGTCTTTCTCCCAAGTGAAGCAATATTTATTCATTCGTGACAACATAATTATGAAGCACATACTCAATGTCCAAGTTCTGTTAGAGAAGATGGGAACAGTATGTCTTACCTCAAGGATTGTTTCAGCATCACTTTAAATGTTGAAAAATCACTAACAGGGTGAGGTGGGAGATTCTAGGCCCACCAAAGGTGGACAGTGACAGGACCTCCTTTCATGTGATGTCCCCATGATCACACTTGTCTGTGGCACTGGCCCTGGCCTGGAGATAAGCCTTGAGGCTGTCTGTATCTCAGAAGGAAGCAAGACAGGTCATTCTACTAGATGACTCAAAGCTATGCACAGTCCAGTGTTGCCTCTGAGCAGTCATCCAGCCTGGTGTCTTCTGGAGATTTGAATGGTGAGAGGGGAGGGAGACCGTCCAGAGGAAGAGCCGCAGTCCTGGGGGCCTTGGATTTGCTTTTCAGGGCCACACCTCAGGAGGGCTGCAGAAGGGGGTGGAATTCTTCTCTGAGTCACCTGGACTCCAGAACTCTGAGCCCTGTGGGTGCCAGGGGTTGTGTGATGACCCTCAGCCTTGTTTTCACTGGTGGGGTTCAGACATCCTGGGTGGTTAAGTTGAAGGAAAATGGCTGAGAGCTTTTGACATCAGCGGACAAGCCTCCAAGTTCACCAGTGAAACCAGAATTCTCCAAGTTCACCAGTGAAACTAGGCCCAGCCTCCTTGTAGGGCTCCAGGAAGGCTCCCTGGGGACTGAGACCAGGGAGGGGAGCTTGCTCTGGACCAAACAGTAGTTCTTTGATGTTGATCTCGTAGTAGATACATAGGTCCATAAAAATAGGTATGAAAAAATAGGTAGCTATTTTAAGAGAAAAACTTTAGACAGAATGAACTTAACAGATATTTGAGCAAAGGGTTCATGAGTTGTGGGCACTCAGACAACAGTTCCAGTCAGACTACTGCAGGTGCACAGGCCCTGGTGTTTACCCTCTGAGGTGCAAGTCACATTGAGAAAACACATTTGATTGGTCAGGATGGAAAGACCCTGGTTAGAGATTAGGTGGTAGCCTTATATGTCTGAAATCCCCAATTTCATTTTGTGGTTGTCTATTTGACTCTCATTTGTTTATGTGGGAACCCAAAGTACTGGAGCGGCTCCAGCCCAATAGCCTCTCAATAACAAACAAATTTTATCCAGATAGAATGGCACATGCCTTTAATCCCAGCACTTGGAAGGTGCAAAGCAGGAGGATCAGGAGTTTAAGGCTAGCCTAGGTTATATGAGACCTTATCTCAAAAACAACAATAATAAAACCAATTTTGAAAACTCTTATTTGACAGAGAAACTCATCCTGCATGAAGCAGCACCCAGAGGCAGGAGTCTATGATTCCCTGGGTTCTCCACACAGGAAGCACCTCCAGTGTCACCTCAGCCCCCAGAGCCCGTAGGTTTCCAAGTTGCCCCACTTCCCCCAGTTTGCCAAAGCCTCCCACATAACCAAGACCTCCAAGTTCTCCTAGCTTTCCAAGTTTCCCCAGGCCTCCTGGGTCCCCCAGCCCTCTAGGGCCCCACGTGCCATCCAGTGCTCCCAGGAGGCAGTGGCAGGAGCACATCTGTATACCCAGTAACAGAAGCCTGAGCTGGAAGACTATTTCAAAAAGTACCCTGACCCAGCTTTCCGAGCTGTATGGAAAGGATTAATGAGAAGGAGTGCCAGGTCCCGGTCCTCTCCTCTCTCTTGGAAATCCCAACAACATTCTTCTCGCTGCTGTGCCCACTGGCTTTGGACAGGACTGATTCAAGCACTACCGTTCTTGCTCTTATAAGAATTCCCAGCAATGGGGCTGGAGAGATGGCTCAGCAGTTAAAGAGCACTGGTTGCTCTTGCTGAGGACCTAGGTTCAATTCCCAGCACCCACTTGGCAACTAACAACCATCCATAACTCCAGTTCCAGGGAATCTGATGCCCTTTTCTGACCTCTGTGGGCATTTTGCATGACACAGGTGCACTTGAATACATGCAGGCAATACACTCATACACATAAAATAAAAATAATAAATAAAATACTTAAAAAAAAGAATTCCAGCAACAATCTGACATATGTAGCAAGGACGGGGAAGCACTCTAGGCAGCCCCAGCTCTAGCATCAGATATAACTGCCTTACCCCAGGAGAATGCTCCAGACGCAGCTGCTGTCCCAGCTGAAGCTCCAGGACCAGCTCCAAATGCAGCCCCAGGCCCAGCTGACGTGGTCTCCTGAGTGTAGCCCCAGGATCACAGGATGCTGGAGGCTGCTACACCTTCAGTGTCTGGTTGCTAGGCACTGAGTACTAGCCTGATTTCACACAGGTCATCTCACCCCTAGACGCTTAGGAATCCTACGAGGTGGCATTGCAGACCAAGGCTGATTTGCCCAGGACATTTCTGAGTCTTTGGGGATTTTGGTGCCTGCTGTGTCCTGCAGCTCTAGGGGTCAGATCCAGGTGAAGACCTGTACTTCCTGAATGGGGCAACTCCCTGGAGCTGCTGGACATGGTCCTACTGAGTGTCCCCATTGGCTATTTGGGGCTGTAAATGTTTGTGAATTTCTAGGATTAGGAGTCGAGGTCTAGTCATTGGGTGTGTTTATTTCAGGTGATGTTGCCCTTGAGCTCCCCCAACATCCTGCCCGCCCCCTATCCTGCCCCCCAACCCTGCCCTCTTCTCCCTCCCCCTCTCCCTGAGGGCCCCCCATCTCCACCGGTCCCCTCCCCCCTGCCCCTCTCCCCCCTCCTACCCCCGCATCCTGCCCTCTGTTTTCTCCTGTGGGCATCCTTTTGTCACTCAGGACTCAATGCTGAGGCATTTTAAAAGGCTTTTCCTCCATCAACTAAACTTTCACTCTCACTGTTTTCTTTTAAATACAGGGTGTCACTCTGTAGTCCCAGATGGCCTGGAACTTGCCATGTTACCCAGGCTGGCCTGGAACTCAGGGTGATCATCCCACCTCAGCTTCCCACATGCTTGGAATACCCTGATGACAGCGAAGGTGGCCGTCCACGTGCCCTGGCTGTCCTCATTTCATGTCTCATTTGATTTTAAATAAATGTGATTTAAAAAAAAATAAAATCCTTTTGACAATCAATATATTGTAATTATCTTCTCTGTGGCTTATATTTTAATTGAATAAAATAATGATTTTCTTTTTTAAAAAAAAAAAAAACTTATTTGGGGAGCTAGAGAGATGACTCAGAGATTTCTTTTGCAGAGGACCAAGCTTTGGATCCCAGCACCCACATAGTAGTTAATATCAGTCCATAATTCTGGTTCCATGGAATCTGATGTTCTCCTTTGACTTCCACAGGCATTGCATGACACAGATACATTTACATACATGCAGGCAAAAATACTTATACACATAAACTTATTTGGCCCCTTCAATTAATAATAAATGTAAACATCACATTTGATATCATCACTTACTCAAGTCTTCTCTCTTTCAACAGAGAACATCTGAATCTCACAGTTCCCCAGTTGATCCTTATGTAAGTATTGACTTCCAGATACAATTCTTGAAAAGGCCAGGCTTTCTTCCTGGTGCGTTCCCTGCGTCATGGCTGCCTCTCCCTGAAGGGGATCACTCTTGGCTGCAGTATGCTGCTGTGGGTGATGGACAAAGAGTACAGCTGTGTCCCCCGAGCTGGACAAGAGGAGCCAGGGTTGGGTATTTTGGCCAAGAGCATCCTTCCATGTGAATCACAGGAAACTTTCCTTTGTCCTCATTTCCTCTCAAAGGTACATGTAGGAAGTAGAGTTCTGGATCACTGGGGTCTCTGGGACAGAGCCTAGAATGGTAACACGCAGGATTGGCCTGTGGAGGAGGGGCAGGGAGTAAAGTTGAGAGGAAAGAGCATTTACAGAAGGCAGTGGATGGAAAGGAGACATCCCAACATGTACTCCCAGGTGTAGACAGAGCTCCAGATTGAGCACCAGCCAGGAGGAGCAGACCAGCCCTGGTTTGCAAGTTCTAGGTGTGGGCCTGTCCTTGTCCTAAGGAGAAATTCTCCCTGCGAAGTGCTGGTGGGTCCTTCATGGATCTCCCGGGGCCAGTCTCAAGGGAGCCACCAGGGGCTGGGTTGGTTAGACCTGAAATCACCACTGAGCAAACCACAGCATGTTTCCTCTGTGCTCAGTCATATGTAAACCATCCTGATCCTCAGGCCCTGTTCAGTCTCTTGCTGGGGTGCTGCCTGCTTAGGGGTCTGCCAAAACCCTGGATGCCGCCCCTCTCTAAGCCAACTCATGCCCTGATGCCTTTCAAGGACATTCTAGACCAGCTCAGCTTTTCACTGAACCATGTAGTGGCACTCACACAGACTAGCACAGTTATACAGATCAATACTACCCAAGTGAGGACGGCTAATTGAGTTGTTTTACATGCACTCAACTCCACAGCAACCTGCCCGAAAGAAGATGTAGGTCTTATCTACACTGGCTTTCACGCTTGCCCTGCTGAAGGAGCCTTCAGTAGTCCCTGGAGTCACGCCAAGTCCCATGTTTGTGTGGCTTGTGGAGCACAGAAGTAACAGAGAGCCAGGGCTCAGCCCACAGGCAAGAATCTGTGTGGAGGAGAGGGACACTGTCCAGCAAAGGTGTCCTCCACCCTAAAACAACACTGACATCTAATATTGCCGTGTTTTAATAGCTATCTAAATCTCAACTGAGCTGCACACTGCACTTGCCTACAGAGCTCTGAAAAATACTGTTGCCAGGAGCCCACCCCTAGAGGAAATGCTATTCTAATCAGTTTGGCCTATGACACAGATATCACGACTTTTTTTCTTTTTTTTTTTTTTTTTGAGAGGAATTCTTTAATTTCATACAACATTTCCCACTCAAATCCAGACCACTCCCCCATTCATGGCCCCACCCCGTGAATCCTGTGCACTCTGCCATACATGCTGAGTAGGTACTGGGATTTGAACCCGAATCCTCTGCAGAGCAGCCAGTGCTCTTAACTGCAAAGTCATCTCTCAAGCCTCTTTCCTTTTTTTTTTCTCTTTTGAGATAGGGTCTTGTGTAGCCCCAGCTGACCTAGACCTCACTGTGTAGCCAAGGATGGCCTTGAACTCCTAATCCTCCTGCCTCCAGCTTCCAAGTGCTGAGTTTCCAGGTGTGTACCACCATGCCTGGTTCAGGATTTCTATGTGACAGCAGAGGCACCACCCAGTTCTTGAACTGCCTCTATTCTCTCAGAAGGCAGGACCAGGAAATCATGTGCTCCTGCATACACGTCGCTCAAATACTTCCTGGTTTATATGTTAGCACTGATCATGGAAAAGCCCAACCAACCTCTTAAGGAGGTTGTGAATGACTGGTTTGAATAGTTCTCTGGTTGACAAGGAACTGAAACCCTCTACTCAAGATTGATGGGTGTTATTAGCTAGGGGACCTTACCTATAGGAGCAGAGTGGGAAGGGAAACTTGTATAGACTTGCTAGGCCCTCTAATTTTTTTTCCAAGACAGAATTTCAAGCTTATCATAAACTCATGGTTCTCCTGACTTAACTACCTAAGTGCTAGTATCATGCACCCTGTTTAGGCCCTCCCAATTTTCCCAGATATTCAGGCAGCACATAATGTTAAACCCTAATTGTAGTTCTTACACCACTGTTCTTCACACAGCCAGAGGCTCAGTCATAGACCAGTTCTTCATCTTGAATGCACATGTATTTGTAGACCATATAGTGACTGTGCATTGGTCTCTTTAGAATTGCCCTATAAATTCTGTTGGTTTTTAATCAGTAGAATTTATTCCATAGCAGTTAGACACAAATATTGTCAAAATTTAACTTCTTTAAATGAAACTTAAATTTGACCAAAGTTTCCACATATTGTGCCTGAGGAGAAATCTAGTGTCTGTTGATTTGGGGTCATTTCTCCTTTGTATAGAACAAAGCTCCAGCTCTTTTATGCATCCAGGGAGAGCTTTGGCCCTTGTAGTAGTTTCTCTCCCTGTTGCTGTGATAAAATACCCTGACAAAAGCAGCTTAAGAGAGAATGGGTTTATGTGGCTCACAAGTGTAGGTCACGGTCCATCAGTGCTCGGAGGTCAAATGGCAGGGCTGGTCACATGACACCCACAGTTGAGGCCAGAGAGCAGTGAACTAATGCATACATGTTTGTGCTCGGCTTATTCTCTCCATTTTTATCCAGTCCTGGATCCCGGTCAGGAAATGGTGCCATGCTTAGTAGGCAGGCCTTGCACATCAATGAATGTAATTAAGATAATCCCTAACAACATTCTCAGAGGTTTTTCTCCCAGGTGATTCTAGATGGTGTCAACTTCCCAATTCAAACTAACCATCGTTGTCTTCAACCCTGGGTGGTTGCTAGGACTGTGTACTCCTTAGATGTGAGAGATGGTTCGACACCTCACCGTTTTGCTGAGTCGTGAGGGATCTTCCACCAGGTTCCTATAGACGCAGTTGTGGCCTTCCTTGAACTCACTTGGTTGGTCATCTGTACACATGTCCTGCCAGCCCAGAGGCACTGCCACAGGCTCAGGGCTCTCTGGACACAGAAGCCATGGCCCAAAAAAGCTTCCACAGAGCCTTTCTTCCATTCATGGGGTGCTTATGGTCCAACTACAGAATGTGATGATCTCTTAGTTGAGTCCATCAAATTAAATTCCTAAAACATCTCCTTTGATGAGTCAATGTCATCATTGTTATAAGAACAAATGGATTTAACATTTTATTTCAGAAACCTTTGTTTTATCCACATGATAATAAAATAATTCAGATTCTATAAAAACCTTCTTGGTTTGAGTCTTTCTGTGTTAGAATCTTTGGTTTTATGAGGAAGACTCTTTTTTGGTCTGGCACATGAACTTCATGGAAGACCAGGATGTCTAGTTATGCAATCTCCACTCTGTGCACTTCCTTAATATCCCCGGAAGAGATATCCATGCCCATGCAGATGCATGCAAATGCCATGTGTCCTGAATTGTCACGGGGTGGCCTTATGGGTCTCACTGATCTTAGTGATGTAGATGTCATTTTGCTTTCTAGCCGGAGAACTCGAATGAATGTATGGTGTGTCGGGATGGGGGAACACTGTTCTGCTGTGATACTTGTTCCAGAGCCTTCCATGAGTATTGTCATCTCCCAAAGGTGGAAGCTGAGATGTGAGTGAGATGTGGTCCCTTTTGCCTCCTCCTGGATGCCTTTTCCTCCTGCCATGCGCACGTCCCCTGTGGAGTTGCTGTTTGTATCTTAATGGGGAAGGAACAAGGGCTCTTAATAACAGAGATCCCACAGTAAGATCTAGAGAGCCATTTAAAGATACGTCAGCAAGAAATTAATGTCTTCTGTGTATCAGGCACAGCTCCTCTGGGATGTGAAGGCTGGTGACCTGGGCTTTTTGCCTACATATTGTTATTGCCCTTTTCTTGGACAAGGGACTCTTGTCCAAGGGATCGGGGTTGCAATATATCAGTTGTTTTTGTTTTCTACTAACTCATTAAAGAGGAAAACATGACAGCTTTCTACATTCCATCAGTTTGTAATGGGCCAGTGGAGGCCCATGATCCCCAAGGTTTGTTGAAGACCATTTTACTATGCATAGACCTAATACCCTAGTCTCCCTCTGCACCCATCACATCTGGGAGTTAATGGAGAGTCCACCACTCACCATGACACCACTTTCCAAGGACTGACTCCTGCTGACAGCACTGACAGGAGGGGTTGATGGCTCAAGATCCTATGTGGGGTCCGTGGATAGTCTGGGAACCTCTCCCCTGAACCGAGACTGTCAGCCATTGCTGAAAGGACAATGGTAGATGTGTTAAGAAATGGGGGAACAATAGCTGTTTCCAAACTTTCCAGCTGCTTACCTTATGTCCAACCTCTCAGGACATCGTGGAGTTGCATCTTCTGCAGGGTGATGCAGTTCTTAGGAAGCCCACAGAGCCATTCAGAATCTGAGATACTGCAGAGGCAGATGCAGCCTGAGGAACAGTTGGTGAGTTGCCATGAACCCCAAGTCTTCTCCTTTCCCCTCCAAGAAGCACAAACGGGCTTGGGGTCAGAGGAATAGCACTCCAAGGGAGCCTGCTCTGCTAAGCCATGCTTCCATCAGGCTGATATCACAGCACAACCTGTTTGCAGGAAAAAAAAAAAAAAAAAGTCAGCTATTAAAAGCCTGTTTCCAAGAGCCACTTCCAGAAGATGGGTTTGAGCTGTGCCTGGGCATACATGTGGGCTCTGTCTTTCTAAGTCACTTTTCATTGAGTCTTCTTCTCTTGCAGAAATGTGAGTTCATCCTCTTAAAAGTCTATTGCTGTCCAGAGAGCTCCTTTTTTGCTAAGATGCCATATTACTATTATGTAAGTAACAGTGGTAAACTTCAGTTATGGGTCACCATGATGCCATATGACTGAAAGGGGCACTTGTGAGATTTGTGATTTATAATCCCCCCTCCCCCAGTATAAGCTCTGTTGTTTGTGGGTTTTATGGGACTCCATGGAAGGCAAACACTGAACTATTCAGTCACTCTCCCATTGGTGTTTCTGTCACCAGTTTAAAGAGACACTTCAAGGCCCACAGAATCACATATGGTTGGACAAGATCAAGAAAAAGCTGAATAAGCAGAATTACTCCCAAGTGAAGGAGTTTGTGCAGGACATGAGGCTCATCTTTCAGAACCACAGGGCCTCATTCAAGGTAAGCGTCTCCCTCTGCCTGCCTGTCATCTTTTACCCATTGGGTTATTCTACTCATTTTCTGGTACCTGGAAAATATTCTGTAATAAGGTTACACAAGCAAAAGTTACAGAGTGCCAGACATTGTGGAGCATGCTTGTAATCCCAGTACTCAAGAGGCTGAGATAGGAGGATTTCGTTGTGTTCCAAGCCAGCCCGGGCTGTAGCGTGAGACCCTATGTATTTTTTAAAAAAGACTTCTGGAAGTGAGTGATTTCTTTTCAGCTTAAGGAATAGAAGGCGTCCCTGTCAGAAAAGATCCTCGGCACTGAGAGCTTATTTCCCTCCCCCTACTATGGCCACAGGAACGCCCAAAGAACAGTTAAGTCCTTCCCCATCTCACATATGCAAGGAAGAGAATTTCGTTTAATTGATTTATTTTTACTTTTTTAAATTGTGTGTGTGCCACAGTGTGCATGTGGAGTTCAGAGAACAAGCTTGGGGGTTGCACCCCACCTTCTTCCTTGTTTGATACCTTGTTCACCCCTGTAGGACTGCTGGGTTACAGATGCATGCAACTGCATTCAGCTTTACATGCGTTCTGGGGATCTGAACTCACATTCTCACACTTGCAAGGCAAGCATTTTGCCTACTGAGTTAGCTCCCCTGCCCCAGAATTTAGTTTTCAAGTCATTTTTTACTTCTTAACTTCCCCTAGTTCTCAGAAATACCAAAGTCCAAGTTCCTTTACATGTGAATGGACTGTGTAGTCATCAGGGTCCATCGGAGAAGAGCACAAGTAACTAACAAGGAAGAGATGTTGCTCTCTCTTCTTAAACTTCTATTTGAAATGTTACAAAGAACATCAGTTTTGGAGCTGGAGAGATGGCTCAGCATTAAGAGCACTGACTACTCTTGCGGAGGAACCAGGCTTGAATCCACATAGCACCTAACAACCATCTGCAACTCCAGTTCCAGGGAATCCAATGCCCTCTGCCCTCCTTGGGCATTGCACCACACAAGTACACATACATACATGCTGGCAATGCACTCATGTACATAAAAAGTAATCAGTAAAATATTTTTTTCGGTTTTAATTCTCACTAAAATAAACCACTAAAGCCAAAAAAAAATGTAATGGTTCCCAAGTATGGAAATTATTTCTATCTCATTAATAAATAATCCCATGGAGAGGGGAGAGGCTCATGAGGCCTCCTTCCCTCCTCTCTGCAGACCTATAGTTGCAGAGGGAGAGTGAGACATTTTCTTTAGTGGTGTAGACATTAGTAAGTTGTTTGTGCTCCTGAAGGTAACCCTAATGAAACTCATTGGTACACACACACACACACACACACACACACACACACACACACGCACATGGAAAGAATTAAAGAATCATGCTTATAAGATACAGAAGTTACTCTCATCTGTGAGTTTTTAGATTTAACCTGGTTAGTATAACAGGAAGAGTCCTGAGCATTCTCAATTACAAGGGGTCTAGAGGCATTGTTAATAAGCACTATTTTTATCTTCCTTATTTTTTTTTCCAGTACCCTAAGTTTGGACAGATGGGACTTAAACTAGAGGCTGAATTTGAGAAGATTTTCAAGGAAGTGTTTGCCATTCAAGAAACAAATGAAGACAGCTGACCAGTGTCATAGCACAATCTCCTTTTCTGGCCAGCTCCTCCCACCCCCAGCAGCAGTGAATGTCGTCTACTGACTTCAGCACTTCCAGAGGATTCTCTAGGCCACGTGGAGTCAGCTTCAGCTGGAAATTACACTTCCTGCCTCGGGGTCCATCCCTTTGCCTCCAGCTGGAACTAAGGATGTGGTTGGATGTTGCTTTGTGCTCTCAGAGGGGAAGGCTGGAGTTTTTCTCCATCTGCTTAGCTTTCCTCATCACATTATATTGCTCCCTTTGCCTCCTACTCCTGAGAGCACTTCACAATAAACCACAGGCTTCTAAGACTTCAAAGTGTGTGGTGGCTCACACCTGTTGTCCCAGCACTTGGAGGCTGAGGCAGGAGGATTGCTACAAATTTGATGTCAGCCTGGGCTACAAAGTGAGTTCCAGCCAACCTGAGTTACAGAGTGAGAGCTTGCTTCAACAACCAACCAACGCCCCCCCCCCAAAAAAAAGTTAAAACAATAAAAGACCTTAACTCAGACTCTCTTTTAGGAGACTTGTCCAGAGACAATGGTCCTAGGAAGCAAACTCTCAGGGCTGGATTCCAGGATTGGTGACAGTCCAGCAAAATGGTGATTGGTAGACTATGTCAATAGTTCCTAGAATGTTATGTCAGTGCACTTACCAAACTTTCACCTATAGAAAAGGCAATACAGAGTCATGTGAGCTATAGGTAAAGTGGTACATTATCTGCTGGAGGAAGAAAAGATAACTTTAACAATGGGGACCTGGAGAGATAGTTCAGTGCCTAAGAGTATTTATTGCTCTTACAGAGAACCAGCGTTCATATCCTAGCCCCCACATGGATGGCTCACAACTGCCTATAACTCTAGCTTCAGGGGGTCTGATGCCCTCTTCTGGGCTCTATGGGCACCTGTACTCAGGTTTTATGTGCCCCTCCACATACATACATAATTAAAACTTTTCAAAAATATTTGGAAAGTGGGACTGGGGAGATGCCTCAGTGATTAAGAGCACTGTCTGCTCTTGCAGAGGACCCAGGTTCAGTTCCCAGCACTCACATGGTGGCTAACAACCATCTGTAACTCAAGTTCTAAGGGATCCAACACCCTCTTCTGGCCTCCATGGTCACAACATACACATGGTACACTTACATAAATGCAGGCAAAACTCATACCCAAAAAATAAATTAATTTTTAAAAATTAAAAAGCACAGTAGGGTTGGTGGCAAGTGTTAAGTGGTGCTGATATATTGATAAAAGTTACTGACAGGCTTAAATCTATTCATCTCAGGTCTTAAGGAAAGAGACCCTCTTACCTTCAGCTGAAGTCAGATAGCAAGTATGGGCGTGCGGGTTTCGCGGAGCACCAGCTGCTGGGCATGGCGCCGGTCTCCCACACGTTGCTGGAGTGCGGCGGGTCCCGCGGGCCACGTCTGCTGTTTGGGTCCCTGGCTCCCCGCCACTGGCGGGGCCCTGCTTCTCCGCGTTGTTGAGGCTCTCTGCTACCGGGGCTGGCCCAGTCGGGTTCCGCTTCAATTTCCACCGTGCACTCTCTCTCTAAGTTCAGGACCCGTTGGCCACCAGGTCATGAGGGGAGGTACAAGAAACGGCTAAAGCTGGGTATCCGTGAGTCGTGGTTTACGAAGAGATAGCCCTCTCTGGGAAGGCTGGATCGTAGGCAGTAAGACACAGAACTCAGCTCAGTCAGTGGTACAGCCCCTTTATTCTGTGACTTAGCTTGGCTCCAGGCCTTAGTGATCCAGCTCCGATTATTGAGGGAAAACCAGGATACTTTATACTGTGGGGGTAGTGGTAAAAGCCTTAGCTGATAGGTACTTTGTGGGATGCCCTATTTACATATGGAAGTGGGCTCCTGCCAGGCTGTCAGACTGCCTGAAAATCACACAGGAAAAGCTGGCATTTCATGTTTCTGTTACGGCTACTTCAAAAGATGAGTCAGGAAGATGCTGGGAAGGCACCCTGCTGATAAAAGGAGTCTCTGCATATGAAGCCGAGCCCATGGGCTATCCGGACATGGAGAGACTGCTACTTTACACAACAGGGGTCCCCAACAGCAAGGAAGGCCTGTCGTAGGCTGTTGTTGCGGGCGGCGGCGGGTCACGCTGCTGTGCCAGCTGTTGGCTGGGTGTGCGGGGTTTCGCGCGCCTCGCTGCTGGGTGGGTCCCTGGCTCCCCTCGGCTGCCAGGTGCTGGGAACTACAGATCGGGCGGGTCTGCAACAGCTCTGGCGAGTCCAAACTCTGCGCCAAGGCAGGCTGCCGGGCGCTGGCGGCTCTGCAGGTCGCTGCCAGCTGCTGGGCAGGTTCTGCGGGCTGCAGGCGGGCTGCGCCAATCTGCAGGGGGCTCAGGCTAGCTGCAGACGCTCTCACTGTGCCTGCGGGATGTCGGCCACCGTCCCACGAGCGCCGGGGAGCGCAGGAATGGCAGACGCAGAAGCTTCGGGAGTGAGTGCTGAAGGGGGACAGCTCCTCCGGGGAGACTGAATCACAGGCTGGTCGGAGGCGCAGTGAAACACAGGATACAGCTCAGTCAGATGATCTCAGTGATACAGCTCGGTTAGACTCAGTGATTCAGCTCTGCTTTATTAGGGTAAAACTAGAAGATTTATAGTGTGGAGGCAGTAGCAAAAGCCTCAGCTGATAGGTGCTCCTAGGATGCTTTATTTCCATGAGGCGGTGGGCTTCTATGCTGTCAGACAGTGCCTGATTAAAACCTGGTAGTTTCTATGCCAGAGGTCATGTATCTGTGGCAGCCACTTCGAAGGTGAGTCAGGAAGAGAGTAGAAGGCGCCCTGGTGGAAAGAGGAGTCTCTACATCAAACGCCGAGCCCCTTAGGCTATCCCAACATGGAGAGACTGCAACTCAAACAGCAGGGGTCCCCAACAAACCATGAGTTTACACAATACTTCTCAGTGTACAATATTTTTCAATAATCACAGTAAAAGGAAAGTACAAAGTTCAGTGATTAATTAACGCTTTCTTAACATAGCCAAGCAATGCCTATTGTTTTCTTTATAGCCTTACAGTTTCTATTTTACCTTAGAAGTGTAAGTCAGCCTGTCCCCATTTTCCCTTTAATTCTTTGAATTTAATATTTACAGGTAGGTGCGTCTATTTGAGAGAATTATTTTTCTCATGGGAATGGGAATAATCACAGGGATTAAGCATCTGATGAGGGTTAGGGGTACTGATTCTAGCATGCCCCTGCATGGGTCCTACAAGTTCAGCATAGCTGTGGTACACTTTAAGCGAAATGGAAGTAGAGATGCTGGAATACTATGGCAGACTTGGGGAAAAAAATCTAATTGACATGCTAGAATGACCTTGCTCTCTAAGACTGGAAAACCCATCCAGGAAGTGACTGTGTTCCTCAGGGACACTCCAAAAGTAATGAGGCAATAAGGAGCACTGTGCTGGAGACACCAGCTTCCTGGAGAGGCTCAGTGGTGGCCGCCCTCTGTGGGCTGGAATAATAGTAGGAATGCTTCATGGTACTGAGTTCCACAGCAGTAATAGAAATTTTAGATTCCAGGCTAACAGATGCCAGGTGACAGCACTTAACTGTCAAAGCAAGATAAACAGAATAACAGCTGGAGGCCTCATAATTACCTTAGAATGGCAGCTGGAGACCTGTCTGTAGGCGGCTATGGAGAAGGCTAATAGGATATGGTGTGCCTTCAGGCAGGACAACTAGTCACCCGACAAAGGCATTGCTTCCTATATATAAATAATCAAAAGAGTGGAAGAATGGGCAGGCAGAGGGTTAAAGTCAGCTATCTCAAAAAGTCTAGATCTCTTGCTCAGTTTCCAACTTGAGTTAGTTCTTAGTGGGACTCAGAACCCGTCAATGGACATGAAGGCTGTTCCTCAGCAGAAATGACCTTGCAAAAATATGTGGTGGTGATTCTCAGCTCTTCTCCAAAGGGATTTATGGCCATCTATTCAAACAGGCTCATGCCAGGGAAACACGCACATGGCTCTTTCAAGGGCTGAGCTGGTGCTGATATTTGGGAACCCAAGTGTCCATCATGGCCTCCTGATAGAGGAGACTATGTGAAGGCTGGATAATGTCCCTGTCACAATGGTCCATTAGAGCTCCAGAGCCACTCAACAACCATTTCCCCGGTTCCTGAATGTATAATCAGGACAGATACAACAGCTAGCTGAACAGGTTCCTTAGGCTATGAAGTAATAAAAACTGTCTTAGAAAGACCAAACGGAAGGCTGACACTAAAATTTTTCCCATGGTAAAAATAGGCAAAGCAATATCATGCCATATTCCAGGTAAACGTCAGAGGCAGTCCCAATTACAAAGACATGAAGGAGGCAGTTTGTTAGCCCTGTCGAACTTCTACTTAATTCAGCAAAAGCTAGGTGATTCATGGCCATTAGACAACTGTTAGAGGCTTAACCAATAGGGAGGAGTCCTAATTATGCCAGATGTGATGCTTTTTAAATATTTTATTATTTTTATTTTATGTCTATGAATGTGTTGCTTGCATGTATGTAAGTGCACCCATGTCACGCATTGCCTGTGGAGGTCAGAAGAGGGTGTTGGATTCCCCTGAAACTGGAATTATGGACAGTTGTTAGCCACCATGTGGGTGCTGGGAATCAAACCCAGGTACTCTGCAAGAGCAGCCAGTGCTCTTAACCACTGAGCCATCTCTCCAGCTCCCAGATATGATATTTTATTACAGCATTAGCACAGTTCCTGGTAAGTGATAAGCAGTTATTGATATGGAAAATGTACTTTTAAATTATCCACTAGAAGTAGAATCAAAGTTGTAAAGATGAGACAACAGTGTGCATGTGTGGTTTTTCCCTAGAACAAAGTGAATTCTGCTTTCTATTAAAATATAGCCTGTCTGGACACTGCCATTTATTACCTTTGTCTTCTATGTTGATAACAGTATGTTCACTAAATCCAGTGAGCAAGAATTCCAAGCATTCTGGATGCCTTAAGTCACAGGCACTCCAGTAGTAAGCAAATAACCCTTATAAAGATTCATGTGCCTGCCATATATAGGAAAGTGCTCATGGGTCCAGTTTTGTAGGAAACCAGGATGCCAGGCCCTAGGGTGAGGTGAGTCTAAAACTTATAGGTCCGGGCTGCATTCTCTCCTAAAGGGAGGGGCACTGAAACAGTGGCTCTGGTAATCCCTGTCCTGCAGAATACTGCTAGACTGGCAGGAGGAAGCGGCCTGGTCATAAAGTGCAGGCTCCCTGCTCTGTGGGAAAGCGTCTTGGTCAACAAACCTTAGCTCATCTCCTTGTCCTAAACAAATAACTAAGCTATCCCTGGCTAAGAGATTAGGCCAGGTCAAAGGTTTACTCCTGAGCTAAAAGCTAAAAGTTTACCATGCTTTTAGCTCTAAGAAAGAAAACATTGTGGCCAATAAATTACTGGATGGGCATTGATAACCTTGAGTAAAAGTTTAAGAATTCTCTGACGCCAACTAAGACTAAATGTCCTGTTTCTTTGTACCCTAAATCTT